AACTCTGTCAGCTTTTCCTCACAGAAGGGGTCCTTCAACCTTATGATAATTTCTGTGGCCCTTCTCTGGACCCTGTCCAACAGGTCCATATCTGGTTTGTACTGAGAACTCCATATGGGGTCTTACCAGAGCAAACTAGATGGGCAGAGTCAGCGCCCTTGACCTGCTGGCCACACTCCTTTGGATGCAGCCCAAGATACGGTTAGCCTTCTGGGCTGCAAGCACACACTGCCAGCTCATGTCCAATCTTTCATCCACCAGCACCCCCAAGTCCTTCTCCTCTGGGAGACTATCAATCCCTTCACTCCCCAGCTGGTATTGATACTGGGGGTTTGCCCCAGCCAAGGTTCAGGATTCTGCACTTGGCCTCGTTGACCCTCATGAGGTTCACATGGGCCCACCTTTTGAGCCTGTCCAAGTCCTGCTGTATAGCTTCCTGTCCCTTGGGCATGTCGACTGCACCACTCAGCTTCATGTTGTCTGCAAACTTGCTGATGGTGCACTCAATCCCTTTGTCTATGTCATTGATCAAGATATGAAAGAGTACTGGTCTCACTGTGGACCCCTGAGGGATGCCACTTGTCACTTGTGTCCACCCAGGCATTGGACCATTAACCATTACCCTCTGGATGCAGCCATCCAGCCAATTCCTCATCCACCGAACAGTCCACCTATCAAATCCATCTCTCTCCAGTTTAGAGAGAAGGGTGTTGTGGGGGACTGTGTCAAAGGCTTTACACAAGTCCAGATAGACAACATCCATAGCCCTTCTTTTGTCCACTGATGTTGTAACTCCATCATAGAAGGCCTCTAGGTTGGTCAGGCAGGACTTGCCCTTGGTGAAGCTGTGCTGACTGTCTCAAATCACCCACCTGTCTTCCATGTGCCTTACCATAGATCCTAGAAGGCTCTGTTCAATGATCTTCCCAGGCACAGAGATGACAGGTTGGTAGTTCCCAGCATCCTCCTTTCTACCCTTTTTTAAAGATGGGTGCAATATTGCCATTTTTCCAGTCACCAAGGACCTCGCCTGGCCCCTATAACTTCTCAGATATCATGTAGAATGGCTTGGCAGCTACATCAGCCAATTCCCTCAGGACTCTGGGGTGGATCTCATCAGGTCCCATAGACTTATGTATGTTCAGGTTCCTCAAATGGTCATGAACCTGAGCTTCACTTACAGTGGGAGGCACTTCTAGAAATGTACTTTCTAATTTTATCTCCTTGCTAATAAAACACTATGTTTTTTTAAACAAAAATTATTTATGGGGAACAGTGAAAATTACAAAATAAAAAAAATAAATCTGTTTGCTGAAATTCGTGGAGCACTTCCAAAAGAAAATGAGAAGCCAAAATCACCTTTGTTTTTAAAATATTTTGTTTCAGAAAGACATCTACAAGATAATTGAAAGAGTTACATTTCAATCTGAAACTTATTCATATATGATAAATTAAGGTTTATATGAGTTGGGCTTTTTTAGCCTCATTTAATTTGTTTTACTAGCCTCAAATTAGAGGTTGTTTTCGTGCTGGATGTGTTCCTGCAGGATCAGGGGAAAATAAGAATGCCATCTGATTAACCACACTGAAAAACAACTGAAACACTTGCAGAGAACTGCTATATGCCATGCAATTGTTGACTAACCATAATTATTTATACTTTTAGAATTACATAGCTGCACAGTATCTAGCAGAATACATGAGGACTGAACAAATTTCCAGTAGACTGAAGGAACGTGCTTTAGGAACAGTTTGAGATACATAAGGTGACTGCATCTATAATGGATTTTGAGCATCACTCCAAAGTCAGCAAGTTTTTCCCTTTTAGTCGTATAAGGATGTGAAGAATTCATGCCTCTGATAGCCAGAAATCTTCTGAACTCGTGCGAAACTATAAATGGCCAATGTGCTGTATGTCATGGGGGTATTCAGACATTGTCTCCTCACCCTTCAATTTGCTAAGGAAGATGAGTCAAACTCATCTAATTTTATCTTTTAGGATGGGGTCTTGATTTTCCATATGCTCCTTCTGGCTTTTTCCTCCATTTGTTCCAGTTTGTTCTTTTTGAACATGGGTGAGCATAATTACAGACAGTATTTTGCATGGAATTTCATGAGTGGCTTGCACACTGGCACTGATGTGCCCATATTTTCTACTGAAAATGCTTTGCTGTGTGATCCTGGAAGGATCATATGTGCTTTCTTTGTGGTCTTGCTATACCAAAGACTTGGTTGTCCTGTGATCAGCTGGATGATACCTTTCTCTTTTCTAGTATTTCTTCCTAATGAGTTCTCAGTTTACAACAGAATTCATTAATCATCAAGTAAGTTACTTTGCATCTTGCACTATGAACTTTCTCTATTAATCATTGTCATCCAGGCCCTATTTGACTCATTACCTAGAATACTTCTTAATATTATCTTATTAGAAGATGTTACTACCAGTTTTACTTCTTGTTTCAAAGTCATTAATAATAATGATAGGTTCAGACTAAGTTTTTCAAGACACTTTATTAGTTTTACTGTTGCACATAACAGCTCTACCCATTAGTTAATTATATACATTCAAAACTGTGCATTTATATTCAGCTTTGCTAACAATTTGAGATCTGGCATTATAGAAAATACTTTACAAATTACCACCTATGGTAAATGTTAGGATCAGGCTTTTAAACATAGCACTGAAGGGTTTTTTTTGGTCCATATTGAAAGAAAGTGGGCCCTACCAGTCAGTTTCCAGAAGAAAATACTACAGTGCCAAAGAGGAATGCCAGTTAAAGGTTTCAGCTAGTTTTGGGCCTCCTAGTCAGAGTTCTTGTTAGACCTGCCCTGTGTTCAGTCTTTTGAGCAAGAACTGAAACAAGAACAGTGAAGGGAAGTCCTTATTTAACTACCAAGGACTCGTATCTTTAAAAAACTACCAGCAGAGCCAAAATTGGTGTATTTGCTATACAGTGCAGTATAAAGATAATCTATAAAAAAACCGAGTACTCACAGAAAGTTGAAAGAATTTGGTAACATTAGAGTAGTCAGACCAGTAATAATTAAATGGTAAAATAACTCTTTCCAATTCTGTATTAAAATTTTAACTGAAGAGGGTCTCTCATCAGCCACCATGTGATTATGTTGGGAAGTATCATAAAGAAAAATATTCCACACCAAGAATTTCATTTTTATTCATCTTCCAATAGCAACTGTTCAGAAAAAAAAAAAAAGTTTTTGGACTAGGCATAACTGTAAACAACATTTCTTTTGTCACCTGGTAGGAAAGGAAAACCTGGCAGCCTTGTGACATGAAGTTCTATGCTGCATGCTCAACTGCAACCACATGTATCACATTGCATGTATTAATATGGTAAAAAAAATTGTATTATAGGATAATCAGGAGAAAAATGGGGTTTTATTGCTAACATTTAGAATGCACTTTTAAAGAATGCAGTTTTAAGCATGCGTAAAATGAATGTGGGTAAACAGATTTTCCAAACAAAATTCATCCTTAGCTTAAATCCCTTAAAGTTAATGGAAGTACATGTGGGACTTATAATTCTCTTCTTAAACAAAGTTTTTTCTTTCTTATTTAACTCTGTTCCCCAAAACTGCTTTTTCAGTAAGACTTTTGAAAAGAACTTAACCACCAAAAGAATTTAACTGCTTATGTAAAGCAGCAATTCAGAGAAGTCCTTATCAGCATTAGAAAATTGACCAATGAGCATTGTGCAAATCATTCTGTTAATCACCTTGTTATGTTCTACCCTTATTACTCTCTTTCATTAGCCTGGATTTTATAATTCTGCATATAGTTAATATTTATTTACATAAATATTAATTAATATTTATTACCATAATATTAATTTTTATTAACTTAAATAAACACCATGCACTTTCCTTAAGTTATATAATAAAAGAGCCACAAACTGACAGTAGATGCAGCCATAACAAAGCATGCTGAAAGTCTCTCCAGGAAACACACTGTTTGCTTGTAAAGTAGTTCCAGAGGTGCTTACAATATTTTGCTGTTTCATACAAGGACTGGTGGGGTTTTTAACTTTCTAAGGAATAGTTCACTTGATTTTTTGACAGTAATTAAAATCAACTAGTTCTACTGCATGGATCCTTTTGAATGTCACCAGTCTCAACTGGTCAAGAACTGACAACCAGCTTTTTCAGTCATGTTAACACCAGCCTGGTGTCAGATTGGCTTTCTCTAAATCCAGATTTTTCTGGCAAAGTCTGTGCTGCAGCTTCTGCAGTGGGCTCCCATCTAATTATGCTACAAATGTTGAAATGAAGATGTCTCTCCTCTGATTCAAGCACTAGTTCAGCTCTCTCTGGAGATCTGCAAATCAAGGAATATGCTGCCAAATTTGGAGAGAATTCAGAGCAAATTGTAAGGTCAACTAGAACTGGAAAACAAGCATTGCATTGACTTGTAGCAGAGTATGCTTAGTTTACCAAACAGAAGTTGAAAGTGCTATCCACCTGCAACCATCAAATGCATCTTAATACAGCAACAAAATTATCCTGGAGAGGATTTTAAATAGCAAGCAAGGCTGCTGGAAGACCCAATGATTGCAAACTGGCACCATGCAAAAATCTAGATTACAAGCAAGCTACAAAGTCATGACTGAGCATGTCTGGGAGACTTGTAGCTTCTCTGTGATTTCAAATCAAGATTCAGTATTGAAAGAAAAAAAAAACATGGTTTATTTCAACCTTTACTATTATATTTAAAACAGTTCTAGAAAATCCTGCTTTGTGCAGTGGAACTGACAAAGTAGCTATACAGTCCCTTCTGTCTTTAAAATCTATGATTTTCTGAATGTCATTTTCTCTAATGTAACACTTTACTGTCACAATGCAGTAACTTCAGTGTGATCTTTTTTTTGTCTATGTTCCGTTATGTTTTGTTTGCTGGCTTTGCATTTTTTTGTTCCTTCTCTTTTTGGGTTTGGTTTTGTTTGTTTGTTTGCTTGTTTCGTTCGTTCTTTCTTTTATTCCAGGAATTGGTCAAGGGGTTCCAGTGGTTGCCCTTATTGTGGAAGGAGGTCCCAATGTTATCTCCATTGTTCTGGAGTACCTGAGAGACACTCCTCCTGTTCCTGTTGTGGTATGCGATGGCAGCGGCCGGGCATCTGACATCCTTGCCTTTGGTCACAAATACTCTGAGGAAGGAGGGTAAGTCACTTCATAGTGTTCTCTGTCTTCCTCTGCAGGTTCAACTTGATGGCAAGATAGGGCCCAGGAAATTATTACCAATATAGTGCAAAAGCAATGACTTCCTCATGTGGCTGTTTCCATTATCAACACAGGTGAAATATTGAAGGTATCCAGATAAAAAAAGGGGGAGCTAAAGCAGTGCTATTGACACCTGGTCAAACACACTTTCTCAAGCATAGCCACCTAGAGTCGGTTGCCCAGGACCGTGTCCAAATGGCTTTTACATATCTCCCAAGGATGGAGGCTCCATGACGTCTCTGGACAGCCTGTGCTAATGCTCACTTAGCCACGCAGTAAAAAAAAAGTTTTTCTTGACGCTCAGAGGAAACTTCCTGTGTTTCAGCTTGTGCCCATTGCCTCTGGTCCTGTCAGTCGCAGCTCTGAAAAAGGTCTGGCTCCATCTTCTTTACACCCTCCCTTTGGGTATTTATATACATTGATGAAATCCCCTCTGAGCCTTCTCTGCTCTGAGCTGAACAGTCCCAGCTCCCTCAGCCTATTCTCATATGTGGGGCAATCCAGTCCTTTCATCATCTCTCTGGCCCATTGCTGGATGCTCTCCAGTGTGTCTATGCCTCTCTTTTACTGAGAAACCCAGAACTGGATGCAACACCAGTGCTGAAGAGACAGGGTCACCTGCCCCAGGATACCATTAGCCTTTGTGATTGCAGTGGCATTTTGCTGGCTCATGAACCCCAAGTCCTTTGCTGTCAAACACCTTTCTTGCTGGGAGGCCCTCAGCATGTACTGGTAAATGGGGTTGCTCCTTCTCACGTGCAGGCTGCTCATGATACTCATTGGAAAATACTGGCGCTTTATTGCCCCATACCATTGTGGCTGCCTTTGCCTTATTCTTACCTGGCAGCAACAGGCACCCCTGAAGGGTTTGCAGGTGTTCTGCAATGATTGTGAAACTTGTTCCCAGAAGCCCCCCAAAGTAAAACCAAGTCTGCTGCTCAGAGTAGGAAATAAAGAATAAAGAAGGATTTAATAATTTGAAATGGGAATGAAAACTGTCTCAGATTCTTATAACTAAGCACTATTTCATGCTTTTTGTCTAAGTAGCTGCAGTAATCTTCTGATCAGGATTTACCAGGAAGGGACAGATTTATTTTTTTTCTGTTAGAATGTATGAACATATGTATTCACACTTACAAACAGGGTTATGCAAATAACGAAAACTAAATCCGTAAACACTGGGCTCTAGACCAACTGCTATTATGTGGTGGGTTTGTTTTTTTTTTAAATAAATGTAATCGTGCTTACTCAGTATTCACCCTAAAACTCCTACTGGGAATAAGATAGTTTTCCACAAATATTTAAATCTGCTTTATATTCAGGTTTATACATAATCAGTGCTGAATGTGGGATAGATCTGAATATGCCAGGTTTCATCTGAAGTGTTGAGAAGCTGCTTCTCTGTTTTCAGTGACCTCACTGTTAACACATTTAACATAACCTTACTCAAACACGTTTTATCCCTCTGCTTGCTATGTACCTATACAGTTTCTGTTCAACTTGTCTGTGTTCTTATGTCTTCATGAAAAGAATATAGCAAGGAGAGAATGAATGCAGCTTATTTCGATATATAAAGGAGATTTATAAGATGGAAAGAGACTTTTTACAAGGGTCTGTAGGAATAGGACAAGGAGGAATGGCTTTAAGATGAAAGAGGGGAGATTTAGGTTAAGGACTAGGAAGAAATTCTTTACTGTGAGGGTCTTGAGACACTAGAACAGGTTGCTAGAGAAGTTGTGGCTGCCCTACCCCTGTAAGTGTTCAAGGTCAAGTTAGATGGGGCTTTGAGCAACCTGGTCTAGTGGAAGGTGCCCCTGCCCACAGCAACAAGTTGGAATAGATAATCTTTAAAGGTCCCTTCCAACACAAACCATTCTAATATTCTGTGATTCTATTTCATCACCACTAACTCCTGCCTGTAAAAAAGCAAGTGATAGAATCAGCAGAGGCAGAAAAAGCAAGTAATTTCTTACCTGATACACCAAAGTCTGGCTTTGTGAAAGCTATTATTCTCACTTCTCATGGGTCTTCTTTCTGTGATGGTGCCATTCCAGGTGGTGCCTGCAATCCTATCAAATAGCGTAATTATTTTTTCCTGTTTACCTTGCACTAACTAGAATGTATTAACTCCGAAATTTGAAAAGCTACCTAGTGGGAATTCTGTGTGTTTGCCCTGCTTCAGAAAAAAGCAGTTTAAAATGCAGTAATATTTTTAAGAATACCACTAGTAAAACAACAATATTATTTACTTTCATAAAAATGTTTTACCCAAATGCATTAGACTTCAGATACAAATTGGGTACTTTTCTCCTTCTGTAACTTACTTTTTAATAGTGCTTAGCTATGTGAGGAGACTACCGAGTAATTGGCACGTTGAGTTCCGCTGCTAGCTTGTTCTTTTAGATGCAATGTAAGTAGGTTATACGAAACTGTGTCTATTAGACTCTAAAACAATGTAGCACATCCAAATTGCATGCAGAATTTAATTCTGCCATCCACTGTGCAATTACAGTCCAAAGCCAAAACCCTATTTTTGTTCTGGCTTCTGGCTGCGGATCTGGGTCTTCTCCAAGACCCAGCATATCTTCCAACTGCTGTACACTGAATATCTGGTATAAATCAGTCAAAAACCACATCATTCATGGCAGCAACAGACTCATCAATTGCAAGTTGGTATTATTATGATGGCTTTTCAGTGTCTTAAATTTTCACTCATTGCTGATAAATATGCATTCATTTTCTACATACAAGAACGTGTATATGTGTACTAAGCACTGCTGTGAATTTTCAAGTTTATTTGAAAGTTTGTTTCAGGGGGAGGGACAGAAGGGGAACTGTATCTGGAGGTTAAGCAGGACAAAATATTGCTCTCTGCTTAAGTGTGGTGCCAACATGTCCTCTCAGAGGGATCCTGAAGTGTTGAACAGCTGTGTATTTGCCAAACAGGTCCTTTTGTATTGGGTTTCACAGAATTTTGACATGCCTGCTTTCCCTCCTCATTATTTATCCTTCCTAATAGATTTCACATAGCTGAAAAATGAACAATATTTTATATTATTCAAGGTGCAGTACCCCTTTGCAATGCTAGTATATGTGTGTCCTTGAAAAGAAACAAGAAGCCTGCAACAAGGCCAGATTATAGGGTTTCCTCATGAAAAGGCAGACATTTCACTCACCTAGGGCAGTCCTTGGGTGCATATTGTAAATGTAAGCCTGCGTGCGCTGCCTTGCACGTGCTGCCTGCAACTATGTGATGTATTGAGAACAGGTCAGAAGGAATTGTGAAGCATACCTTGAACTAAAGATGTCTTTGGAGGCAGATCAGTTTTGAGGCCTCAGTATCTCATGTCTCTCATTGAAGTTCCAGGGGGAAAGCAAGGCATATATGCCATTTCCCAATGAGCTGAGGTTTCAGCTACTATCAGTAGCAGATCTGCAGAATTAACATAGGTGGGTTTTTTTAAGTTTTACATAACTTTAATATCAGGGGCTACATATTGCCTTGGTCTGAAAAGTCTTCAGAATGTACAAGGTGGCTACATTTCACTACAAGCAAATAAAATTCCACTAAGAATTTTAAGCTGAGTAAGTTTCCAGTATTTTTTACAACTTAATGACAAACTACCTACGTACACGGGATAACCTAAGTGAGAACATGTCTCAAATGCAACCTTCCCCATGTAGTGAATTGAAAGAATTATTTGGGTGCTCATCACTACTGGCCCTAATTTAAAGGTCAGGTTTTCCAGACTTTGAAGCACTTAATTTCTCATTTACTTAAAAGTTGAAAATATGTTGAACAATGTTGAGAGGCAAGATCTTTAGATGAATCGTAAACACTCAAATTTAGTCCCTACCAAGCTCTAAGCAAGTATTGTAGTTGTTAATAACTCCTCCACATAAAGCCAAAGTATTTGTGACTGTATAGTAGAGGATGCCTTCTCATTTCATTGTCTTTCATAAAAGCACAAGCTGAAAATAAAGCAACTGTAAAGTGCAACTATTTATAGGATTGCCTAGCAGGTTTTAATCCTCAGAGATTTTTTTCAATTAAACACTGAATTTAAAATGAGAAAAATCAAACACTAGATTAAAACTATGTCACTTCCTAGACAAATATTTCCTTACAGAATGACAAATGACTTGCAGCGTTTGAATGCAGTCTCCAAGCTCAGTTTATAGCATATTAACTGCTCCATCAGTTCTACTCCTGTGAGCATGAGACCCTTAAGGGGTACAATTCAATGCCATAAAAATGTACTTCTTGTGTAATATTCACAAGGGAACATAAAATATTCTCTGTGCTTTAAATGAACATCCTCATGTAAGAATCATTAAAGATTACCTTTGGATTGATCTGTCTCTGCATCCACTGTGGCATAGCTTTTAGGCTTCATAACTGAAGTATATTACTTAAATCTCTTTTTTTTTTTTCTAATAGGGAAAATATAGGGATTTTTCATTTCAAGCAGAAAGGATTATAATGTAGGTATGATGTGGGTCTTCTGTATCCCCTATGGTTCATACCATTTCACACTGCAGATTTTGATATCATTACTTTTCTCTTGTAACAAAGTACTTTGCAAATCAAAATCTGGATAGAAGAACATAATTTCTTTTTTGAAATACAATCATCTCTCTTTTGGTGAAGGGACAACCATTTACTAAACAGTCAGGGAATAGTGTAAAAGAACAGCCACCAGTGAAAAGCTTCAAATTGAGCTGATTCCTCATAAAAGTGCCCAGAAATCATTCCTGTTTGAATGGAGCAAAGGATTACTTACATTATTTTCTGTTTTTTCTCAAAAAAAATTCTATGCAAAATATGTGAATTTAAAAAATATGAAAAATTCACTCAGTACCACAGAGTTGCACACCAGTGACTTATTTGTAATTCCAATGGAAGAAAATATCAGTGGAGCCTCTGGTTGTTTCTTGCA